TAATAGATTAATGATTATTTCTGAGTCAGAAAGAAAAAAGGTAAGTACTGAGAGAACTTTAATAGCGTTAGCAAAGTATTATTTCTTAAGTTGGATGAAAGGCTCATAGGTGTATAGTTTATCATTATAGTTTGTAAGTTATTAGTGTAACTTGTCTTTTTGTATGTACTAAATATTTTATAGTAATAAAAAGAGAGGATCTAGACTATTTGAGATGGCTTTAACCTTTTTTTCCCCTTACATATTTGTGCTATTTCTATAGGAAATTCCTTATAGAGTAGCTGAAAAAGAACAAAGGGTTATGAGATTTACAGGCTCTGCAGTTATTAAACTGTACAGGATCTTAAAAAGTTACTTGATGTCTCTGAGCTGGTTTCCTATTGGTGGTACTTCCTTCAAAGGCCATTGTGAGAATTATGACAAATTACATGTAAACTGCCCAGCCAGGAGTAGGTACTCAATGAATAGTAGGTCTTATTAGCAACAAGACATTACAATATCTATTTAAACATTAAAGAAATCCATCCATCATTCAGATAATCAAGTGGGGTGTTTTTTTTTTGACAAAAATTTCCACAAACAACTAAAGCAATTTTTATTTTTATGATGATATTATAGCATTGCTAAAATAGCATCAAAATGAATCCTCATAGTAAAGCCTGATAAGTGTTGAATCATTTTTTTCCAGCCTTACTGAGGTATAAATGACAAAATCTGTATATACTTAAGGTATACAACATATTTTACACCACTTTTTTGAACCAAGTATTGAACTATTTATAACTTAAAAAAATACTCATCTTTAAGAGATGTATCTATTTCTAGACATAATTTCGTAAATTCCTATAGCAAATAAAACCATTTTGAGAAGTATTCTTCCAATTACAGTTTCCAGTACACCTAACATTTCAGCATTTTCAGAATATTTGTGTTCCTTAGTACTAGACTTTGAGAAATGGCCAATTTGGGCATCTATTGATTACAGAAATTTCCACTTATGTGAGTGTTTTATACATGAAAATACACATGTATATATTGTTAAAAGCCTAGAAAACTTTAAAGTCCCCATAATTTCCACTGAACTCCAATGAGCATGTCATTTCCACTGAACTCCAGTGAGCATGTCATTTCCACTGAACTCCAGTGAGCATGTCATTTCCACTGAACTTCAGTGAGCATGTCATTTCCACTGAACTCCAGTGAGCATGTCAAATGTGGTATAAAATATCATGTTGAATACCTTAAATATACACAAGTATACCTTAAGTATATACAAGTATAAGCATCAAGCAATAGATATATCTCTAAAAGATGAGTATTTTTTCAAGTTATAAATAGTGCAATACTTGGTTCAAAAAAGTGGTGTAAAATATGTTGTATACCTTAAGTATATACAAGTATAAGCATCAAGCAAAAATTCCAGGTAATCAAATTTGTCCTCAGCATTTTCCTTTCTCATACACACTTCTTATCTCCTAGGTCCTCATTCTCTAAGAGTTCAGTGACCTAACCTCCAGCTGTCTCTCACTTCTAAGTTTAGCACTCCATCCAGGACCACCCTATTTGAAATAAAGCTCTTTTTTTTTTTTATTATGTTATGTTAATCACCATACATTACATCATTAGTTTTTTGTTTTTTTAAAGATTTTATTTACTTATTTGACAGAGAGATAGCGAGAGCAGGAACACAAGCAGGGGGAGCGAGGGAAAGGGAGAAGCAGGCTCCCCGCGGAGCAGGTAGCCCGATGTGGGCTCGGTCCCAGGACCCCGGGATCATGACCTGAGCTGAAGGCAGACGCTTAACGACTGAGCCACCGGGCGCCCACATCATTAGTTTTTGATGTAGTGTTCCATGATTCATTGTTTGCATATAACACCCAGTGCTCCATGCAGTACGTGCCCTCTTTAATACCCAAGCTCTTAATTATTCTGTTTTCCAGGCAAAATTAGTGCGGTCTCACAAAATACAGAATTATAATATGCCAATGTTGTCTCATGAGGTTGTATTGATTTACTAGCACAATGGGGTAGAACATGTAAGAACTGAAAGTAGATGCTGAAAACCAAAAATGAAACACTGAAGTTTTCTTTTTACATCTCTCATCAGAGGCTAACTTACCAGTATCCTCAAATTAGCTTCCCTGTTTTCTTCATAGATCTGAATGAAGCGATGACTCCAAGACCATGAGTGTTAATGGTCCTGGCCAGCAAGTGTACCAGCCCTGTCACATTGGAGTCTGGGACAGGTAGACACTGAGTGACATTTTTGGTTAGCTGGAGGTCCTTAAACATGGTTCTCTGTATGAGTTATTCACTGTGGCTGCAAATCATTTGTCACTGCTACCTTTCCCATATGGCATTCCCATAGGCCTTCCCAAACTATTTGCAACCAAGGGGCCCAGTCTCTTGACCTGTCAGCACTGGTGCCTTTGTTATGGTCCTGACTGTCTTGGACTTTTACTTGGGTTTAACAATCAGAAAGATAAACCAGATGCAGTATCTCAAATATTCACCAAAATAAGTTGAAATTAGTTTTAAAATATCTACTATTTGGTATGCCATAGTATGTATTTGAGAATCAGATCTATTTGCAAATAGCTCAGAATATCAGCACCAGGGGTGCCTGGGTGGCTCAATCGTTAAGTGTCTGCCTTCGGCTCAGGTCATGATCTCAGGGCCTTGGGATGGAGCCCCACATTGGGCTCCCTGCTCCACAGGAAACCTCCTTCTCCCTCTCCCACTCCCCCTGCTTGTGTTCCCTCTCTGTGTCTGTCAAAAAAATAAATAAAATCTTTAAAAAAGAAAAAGAATATCAGTACCATGTACAACCTTCAACATTATAAATTCCACCCTGGTGATTTTGCAGAACAAGAAACTGAAGCCCAGAGAAGTTAAGTGATTTGCCACCAATGACATAACATTTAAGTAGCAGAGTTTGGACCAAGATTTCTTGATTTTTAGGCTGGCTCTTTTTCTCTATTCTTCTCTCTCTTTTTAACAATACCTGATGATTTGTCAACCAAGGGGGGAAAAGGGTTTGCATGAATTCTTGTTCGTAACATAAATAGCCAATGTTAGTACAGCTGGTGGTCACCATGTCCATGCTCTATGTTGTTGACCCTTTGTTTGTAACTGGCTATTTTAAATAACTACCTCCTAAAAAAACAATTAGGCTTCTGTTCAATACTCTTCGTATATACATTTGGCAATTCTGCATTCTGTGAAGTTAACAACAATGATGATTTTGAGTGTAATATGTGGACATTCTACTTGAGAATGTTTCTGAATCACTGATTAAACTCCCACAAAGTCATGACAATTAGAAATTGTGCATGCTAACATAATCATTTTGTTATTAAGTGGCTCTGTGCCAGCATTATCTTTTTAAAATTATAATACTGTGGCTTAGCTGTTATATTTTTTTAATTCTTTGAAAATAAGACCTTCAAAGATCATTCTTTTAAAATGTCAATTTATTCCAGTGTTACAAATGACGTTCTCAAACAGGAATAATTATTGCCAAAAGTGCTACTGGCAGACAGCCAAAACCTCTCCATAAGGCTGATTCCTTTCCTCTTTCCAGTAGTTCATTACCAAAAGTAAAGACTGAGTAGTATGCACCACATTAATGACCCCATAAATCCCTTGAGATGAGCAATTAATGTCCTGATGTTGATCAAGTCAACTACACATAAGGTGTGCATATATATATTTTAAATACAGCTCACCTTTTCAAAACTCTATTTCTATTGGTTCTGATTTCTCAAAGAGTTAAAGTAAAGGCTTCTGGGAAGACAATATATTGTAAAGTGTACCTTCCTACCCTGCATTTTTTTTTTATCACAAATGGAACAGTCATGGGCTGTTAAGCAACTTGGTTAAGCAACTGCCTTCGGCTCAGGTCATGATCCTTGAGTCCCAGAATCGAGTCCCGCATTGGGCTCCCTGCTTGGCGGGGAGTTTGCTTCTCCCTCTGGCCCTCCCCCTTCTCCTGTGCTCTCTCTCTCTCATTCTGTCTCAAATAAATAAATAAAATCTAAAAAACAAAACCAAGTGGAACAGTCAGGTGTAACTGAATCAAAATTCACGAGATAAAATGAAAAATAATCCTAATTAGATTTTACTTTAGATTAACAAAATTTGTGGTGCCTGTTGTTCACATTATATTTCCCTTGTCCCTACAATTGCTAAAAATACCAAATCAAACACCACCCAGATTTCCTTATGAAGTGTGTGAACTAGTGCATTAAAAAGTCATGTTAGCACCAACAAAGTTTATAGGGGCAACTGCATTCAAGACGCACATGGCATACCTTTAAATAGCGCTGTTAAAATACCAAATAAAATGTCAACGTCTGTCAGGTCTCTGGCTTTTATAAATTGTTTAGACTGGGAAACGTTGGGGTTTGGACATTGTTCTTTTCATATGATGTAGAAAAGAAGAGACCGTAAAAAGAAAAGAACAATAAAGCGTAGATCATTTTTGAAGTTCTTTCATGGAAAAACATACCCTGGATCATTACCCTTCTAATCAACAATTTCCTTCTTCCTCCCAGTTCTTCCCGTCTGGTATTTACCTTTCTCCCCTCCCCCACCCCTCCCCTCTCTCTGGGTGGTATTCTGAGCTTATACATACTATTCAGTAATCATATTTTTTAAATTGCTTAAAAAGAGAATCCCAGGAGGACATGACAGACATGTATATACTGGGTATTTTTAACCTGGACCATAGCTTTACTCACCATTTCTGTGCTCTTAAAAACACACCAGAGTGCCCTGACCGCAGTTTCCCCAAGGAGAGGAAGGCCTTGTGAGCAAGATCAGCTACTACCTACCTACACACTAGTTATTATCACACCTTAGTGGCCATCTTCCTGCCCTCTTCCCTCCACCCCTTTCCTTTTATTAGCACACCACACTCCCCACAATTCCCAAACAACAACATCACTGTTTCAGCTTCTTCTCTGGATTTCCCACACTTAATGCAACCCAGACCTCACCTTCAGCTCTCCTGAGGCCACTTTGGAAGCCAGCTCGATGACACAGCCAACAGCCATGCGTGCAGCACCGGACGAGTGCAGCTCATTCCAAATGGTGTCACTGTCCACCTGAGCAAACAGTCAGCACAGCGCGAAGAGAGAGAGAGGGAAAACAAGAAGGAGAACGAATAGATGAAAAAGGAAGGGCGGGGGAGGGGAGAAAGGAAGGGAGAAAAAGCAAATTTGTGAGGAAGGGCTGGCAGGGTAACAGCCTAGGTACAATAACATTAGTCTTCCGTCCCAGCCAGTTGAAAAGACCTTCTGGACACAGCTTTGCTTATGCTTTTTCTCTATACTGACTTCTCCAATGGAAACACATTCCTGCCATGCCTCACTGCCATTCCCTGTTTAGATTTCTCATTACAAACAGCATTACATAGGCCGGATCTGGCTTAGTTACAGGCCTGCTAGAAACCAGGCCCCAGTAGTAGATAGAGTAAAAGCTAAGAGCACTTAGCTATACATAAAAATCGGATTTGCAAGTGCTAGAGGGGAAAAATTCAAATACCTTTCTGGCTGCAGGTTTACAGGGAGCCAAAGACAATTATTAGGCAAGTAGTAGCAGCAGTCAGTGAGTAGGAAGTAGCAACCACAGTTCAGGTTCTCTACCTACATGGAAGGAGTGTGTGGTCCTCACACTTAAAAACATTCACCAAATTCAACTGCAAGGAGTAATTTGATTTTCAAAGTAGAAGCTTAAAATTTCTAACATTTAGTACAGTTTAGCGGCTGGTCTTAATGTAGACTGGTATTATTAAAATTGGATAGGCCATTAAAAATACATGGTTGCTTCTATAAGAGAACATTCTTATGAAAACAAAGCATAAACCAATATTTTTTATTTACCTTTATAAAACACTATTTACTCTCTTTCGTGCATGCAGTAAGATAAAATGTAACAAGGACAGGAAAATGTAATAACAGTGGTCTATACTGATCATATGTTACATATTTTTATGTATAAAATATTTCTTAATATAAAAAAACAGAATCAAATGGTAGAAGTCTCTAAAGTTACAACACATAAATTACCTGAAGCACTAGGAAACGTAATAAAAAATTTGTGACTGTGCAAATAGCAAGACTTCTCAAATGTTGTATAAGAAAGGAAATCCCACACAAAATAAAGCTGTTTTTTTTTTAAAGAATTAAGTTAAAGAGGCCTAGTGACATGGAACAAATACAATAACAATTATACATATTCACAATGCACTAAACAGTTTCCTAAGCATTTTAACATGCCTTTTCTCATGAGATCCTTACCAACTTAAACTCTGTCAAGATCAATGAATAAATAATAAATGAAAACAGTAAATAAATACATAAATAAATAGAAAATTAAGATCTTTTCAACAACAGCATAGTGGTGAAGAGAGACGTTTCTGAATCGTATTGTCAGGGTGAAGTTACAGCTTCACTGCTAAAACCTGAATGATGGTAGGCAATTAATTAATTAATGTCTCTCTGCTTTGGTTCCCTTATCTATGACACAGCAACTTTTTAAAGTACCATCTGTGTATGATTTTGGTAAGAATTAAATGAAAAAGTGATAAGCAAATCTTAGTTACTACTATTTAGGCTACTATTACACCCATTTTATAATGCCTAACACAGAGTAGAGGCCTTATAAGTGTTTACTGAATGAGCACACTGTGGCTTAGAGAGGCTACTCAGCTGGCCCAAGGACCTTCATAAAGAACCCTGACTGACATCACATGTCTTTCTACCACAGTCCTGAAATAACTCTCACTTTCTAAGAACATTAAGCCCTTGAAATAGTCAACATCATCATGGTCAACACTACCAGCTAAAAAATAATCATCAAATGGACAATAGGACCTAATCATCTGCCTTCCAAATTAAGTTTTATGTTTACTGAACAATATAAGCACTTATTTGAGCTTCATATAGATATATCCTTGAGGAAGATGGTTGCTCAAATTGAAAAATGAACACCAATATTTACATTGTACTGCATAGTTTTTAGCCAATTTTCAACTATTGCAAAGCTATAGGTGCCATAGAAAGTCCTCATTAATCAGATTTAAAATTATTGGGAAGGCAAGCAAACATAAATCAATAAATCCCAAAGACTTAATGGGTGAGTCAAAACCACATATAATTCCAAACCCCTTTTTATTTGACTTTGGAATACACTGTAAGTTTTTTCTTAAAAAAAAAAAAATCAGAAAAATTTCTTCCAAAAAGCTATAAACATACACTTGATTAGAAAAATATTCCAACACCTAGGAACAACATCTCTTTAACCATAATACTAAGGGGCATTAGATAGCCACAAATAACTCAAATTCACCTTTTTGTCTATATCTTTCTATCTTCCTGGAAGTATTCTTATAGAGGTAATACTCTGTGTCTATGCCATCAATTTTGGTGTGTGAACCTCTACTAATCAAGATACTTATGTTTTTAAATTCAGCTAACATTTGTTAGGTACCTACTATATAACAGATGCTAAGAGTTATAGTATATGGGAGTTATTTTTATCATAAAGATATGATTATTGATTGAAAGAATGCTGGGCACACAGATGCTCAATGGAATGGATACTTGAGATTTTGACTACATCCAAAGTTCAGGCTTATCCCTAAATAGGTGCTCTTTAGGAATCTATGAAATTTATCATCCATTTATTTACTTATATTTAAACATAAAAAACATTTAAGTAACTTTCAACCAGTTTTATGTTTAGTTTGTAACTATATGGTAATAATAGTCAAGATTTTGCATATAATCTATTCATAAACAGGTAATTGTATGTAATTCTGAATTTATTAACAGATGTTGTCTTAGCTCAGCTGCCATAACAAAATACCATAGACTGAGTGGCTTAAATAACAGGATTTTATTTCTCCTAGTTCAGGAGGTTAGGAAGTCCAAGAAGGTGTCAGCCAATTTGGTTTCTGGTTGAAATTCTGGTTCAGTTCTCATCCTGACTTGCAGATGTCTACCTTCTCACTACGTCCTCACATGGCCTTTCCTCAGTGAGTGCATGTGGAGAGAGACAGATCCCACTCTCTTCCTCTTCTTATAAGCCCACCATTCCTATTAAATTAGGATATTACCTGTATGACCTTAATTACCTTAATTACCTTCTAAAAGCCCTATTAAATTTAAATCACATCAGGGATTAGGGCTTCAACATATGAATTCGGGGGGAAACAATTCAGTCCATAGCAAGATTATATCCGAAAAACGTTTATAAGTCAATTTATAAACATATTTTCCTAAGATATTGTGTTCAAAGGGCCATTAGCTACCAAAATTAGTTACTAAAAGTTACCCACATGTATTTGCCATGTTATAGTTTAATAAGAGCTCCAATGGTAAGAAAGCATGCATGGCTCATGAACTCTCCTGACTATAAACTCTGTCATAGAAGAGACTCCCAAATCCACTTCCTACTATTCTCAATGGCAAAAAGTATTTCTTCTCCTGTTATGTCCCTCTTATTGGTTGGAGAGATTGCCAAAACCTTTCCCTATATTAGTGATAGTGTCAAGAATGTCACTGTCATATGAAAGCTCTGATTTTAACTGCTGCAAGAATTTCTGACAGTAGAAAAAACTCTAGGTAAGAGAGGATGGTTGACTCCACTAATTGTTGGTGGTTCTTGGCATGGAATGGGATACTGAGTGGCTGGAAAAGAAGGAAAAAGAGCAAGAAGGATTAGATTTAGATGGATATATGTAAACGGGATTAAGGAGCTAAAATGGCAATACGATGATGGTGAAAGTTGGGACCAGAAGAACTGTAAGACAGGTGCTCTAGCATTTGAAAGTTGAAGGTAGAAAGATTAGGAGAGTGACACAGAGTTGGCTCTGGATATGGAAAATAATTGTAAACAATGTAAATTGTTTAGATTAAGCCAGGAAAGGGGAAAGAAATGGTAGTGGAGCAGAAAGCCATTCTGCTGACTACACTAGCTGGTTATTAAGATCTTGCTAAAGTTGTTAAGACATGCAAAGCAAATTTTTAAAACCAAACTAGTATAATTTGAAAAAAATCAACGTGCTTGTATCTTTTTTCTTTCCATACACCACATTCACTTCTCCTTAGCCTGTCCACCAATTTATTCTTCAGCCTGATACGTGTGTGTGCACAGCCATGCACACATGTACCTGTAAATTAGGAGGCAATGGTACACAGACTAAAAGGGAGATTAAGATTGATACAAAAGAAATGTGAAGAAACTGACATTCAAAATAGAATTTTGCATCAGTACACATAAAAATCTAGATTTTGTGATCAAGTAGGATTTTTTTTTCCCAAATTCCTTTATATATCAAGAACTAAGCCAGTGGTCTCAGATTATAGTCTTACATTAGTGATAGCATCAAGACAATGCTACCACTGCCTTTCTGATAGTCAGCAAAGAGACTCTTTCTACCTATGACAACCAGGCCTAGAGCTCATAGATTTAGCCTTTAGATAGGATACAATAAGAGGAAGAAAAAGCCAAAAGCCGTCCCTTCAGGTCCGGAGAGACTGGAGAAAGGCAAACCAAAGGCGCAGCAGAAGCACCCCACCTGAGAACCCTGCCAGGCTTCATCTTGCAGAGAAATCAGGAGAAAATCAGCTGCTTCTAATGCTAGGCAATCAGGAACAAGACGCACCAGAGAAATTGCCACAGAAGCCTGACTATCCAGAGGAGAGCATGAGTGTCAAAGGACCTCATCAGGTCTCCATCCCTCCTTCAGATACCCAAAAGCCATCTGGAAGAAGAAGCTGAAAGACTGAGCAATTACCTAAAAAGACTGCATCCAATAGTAAGTTGATCTTGAAGTTGATCTTGAAGAGATGGATATATTAGTAATTGTGGAGAAGATCAGTGTAATTAGGAAAAATAGAGCATATTTATCACACATATGAATAAACATGACTAATTCTAATTTTGTGTCCCATTTTTAAGGTCAGGAATTTACTCTGCTGGATGATAGGGAAAAGGTCTAACCAGGATACTGCACAGAAGTCCCAAAGGATATGCTGTATACATGGCTAGTGCCATATAACTGTATTTTAGAATTAATGCGGCAATATACAACTTACTG